TGTCTCTCCCTGGCCCGGGTGTGTGGTTGATCATCTCTTAGAAACACTTGCAGCCCTCTTGCTCGCTGCTTGCTGCTATAACACCCCAGCCCTGGGTCCTCCAATTCCCTTTCTCTACTTCTATACCTAGGTGTTTGAGAGGTGGAGAAAATAATGAAACTCTGCAAAGCGATACTACCACACATTTCTGGTTTCTTGGGAAAAAGTTAGAATTAGAGGAAAGTTGAAATAGACATTTGTGTCATTTTCAAGATAAATATAACAAATGTGCAATCCTTAGCTACAGGTGTGCTTTCAAGATTGCTCAACAGTCCTTTTATTTATCTTTCCATCTCACTTCCCTCAAGCTATTCTACGACTTTACTGTTTTCTTTGTTTGCTATCCAAACCCCATACTGTCACTCTAAGCAGATGATCTTATCTCCTACTTTATTGAAAATATTTAATACATCAGATGAGATTATGTCAACTTCCTGTCCTTCAGTTAAAAAGTTGTCTTCATCTGCTTTCATCTTTCCAGACTCTGATGCGGGGTCCTTCCTTCTGTTTAAAGCCAGACCTCTTCCTCTGAGCTGTTGATGCAGTCCGTCCCGTATCCTCTGGGGTTCTCTGTTCTAATCCACAGCCACCTCCTCTCAACTCAATCTCTAAACATGCTTCAGCTTCTTTTAGGTCTAAAACAAAGCAAAAAACAAACTCAAAATGAAAAAACTTCTTGATTGCATATTCCCTTCTAGCATACTACCCTCTCCTTCCCTTTGTAGCCAAGTTACATAAGTAACATATATACTTACTGGCTCTGCTTATTGGCACACATACCACCCCGACTCCCAGCACCATGTATTGCTTCGACCCGTTGGAATCCAGCCCCCTCCCCGCCATCGTGCTGTGGAAACTGTAGTAAGAGAGGCCATGTGCCTCAATGTAGACAACTCATTGGATGCTTTTTAGTCCTTGTCTTGGTGTTCTGCTCTTTTTCATCTGTCCCTGTACACCTTGCTCTGGCTTCCATAACACTACCCTGTCCTGGTTCTAGGGCCTTCTGGTTAGTCCTTTCTGGTCTCCTTTCTGGACTCTTCTGTACCCAGCTTCTGTGTGTTGGTGTTCCCCAGGTTCTGTCCTTGACCCGTTCTTCTCTCCTATGTGCTTTTCTTAGAGAAGCTCACCTAAAAATTCACTCTTGTACTTTAATGTATTTTCTGTGTATGGCAGCCAGAGTGATCTTTAAAAACTAAATCTGATAATGTCACTTGTTGCCTTAGAATGCTCCCATGACTGTGAAGGTCTAGTTCTGTCATGTGACATTTAAGGCCCTTTGTGACCTGACCCTCTTGCGCTTCTCATGCCCTATCTCACCACCGTGCCTCCCCCTCCCCCATCTGACACTGAATTCTTTAGTAATCCCAGACTCTTGGCGCTTCCTCATGTGCATGTGCAGTTTTCTGCTGCTGAGCCTNCCCCCAGTAGGCCCTTTTATGTGTGATCTCTTCTTATCCTTACACAGACTCAGTGAGGGTGATATCATTGTCTCTGTTTTCTCGATGAGCAAACTGAGGCTCTAGTGGAATGGCTCATGCAAGGTCACATAGTTGGCAAAACTGGAATGAAAATTCAGGAGTTTCTATTGTCAATCCAGTGCTCTTTGCACCATACTACTGGTGACGAGATTGGAGCTTGACTGAGAGCATCCTAATTTATTTTGACAGAAATGTGTGTACTGGTGGAAGTATCCTGGATAACCCCTGTCTAGCCTGACTTAAACCTTCCAGTGGTAACAATCTGAAATACATTAGGGTGAAGGACTTTATTAACGATGATATTCAAGCTGGTGATGGAACAGTTGTCTAAGTTGAAACTTTGACTCCTGTGTTATGGTCTTTTTCTCAGCCTGGTGTTTGTCACATCATCTGTGGTGACTTTTCATATTCACGTGGATGTCCCATCCAACACCTAGGGTTGAGGGTGGCTTCAAGGTTTCTTGCCCTCCTACTCAGGGAGGCTTCACTCCACTCAGCCACCCACAGTCGTGGCCACACTCTGAGTCCAGGGCCTAGACATAGTTGTTATTGTGAACTGTACCATATCAGAAATGGTGAACACCTTGGCCTTGTTTCTTCTCTGACTCTACCCTGCTCACCTTCCATCCCTCTGGTGGCCTCACCCCCACTTTATCTGCTCCTCGAGCTCATGGCGCCACTCATTTCTTCCTGGGCAGTCAGCCTCCCCTGGCCAGATGTCTCTCCCTGGCCCGGGTGTGTGGTTGATCATCTCTT